TAACCGTTAACCGTATCACAGGCCTAATTTTCAAAATCGTCGTCCGTGGGATTCGAACTCTAGACCTGCCGCTTGGGAGTGCAGCAACCCCACCACTTCACTAGGTCGCCACACCCTTACAATATAATATCTTTCACGGGTGTGTAACAGTTGTTTAATGAATCCGGAGGAATAGGGATATGTCGTGAACCCGTTTTACCATGTTTATTTCTGTAAAATGCACCACCCTGATTATTTTTTTCTTTGTGCAACAGGAGCTCCAAACCACCATCTCGGCAGCGTTTAAGATCGTTTCAGCAAATTCGATATGCATCTCCACCAAGAGACCACACAACAGACATAACCAGAAAAATACCCGCGAATAAGAGATTCATTATTATCATTATTCATGTATGGGTGATTAAGTATTTGTTTAATTTCTCCAACTGATAATCTATCCATTTTTTTTGGATCACCCAACCCCTTGGCTTGTAAAATTCTCATTTTACCGTCGAGAGTACGTAGTGCATGTGAAAATTTATATCGATCCCAGATTTTGATTTGCTGAAGGACACTGTACTCTTTAAGATAACGATTAATTGCACTGTAACAATTATGAACTGACTCAACTTTGTAATCAGTACCGTCTTCTTTTTGTAGCCAAGTGATAAATTTACAAAGGTAATCCTCTAACTCTTCAACAGAATTGATTAGTTCAATAGACTGGGTGATACCACAACTTTTATTGAATCTATCTACAACTCGAAGCCACTGAGAGGTATTTCGTTCAATACTTGAAACGAGAGATACTTGCTGCAATCGATCAATTTCTTCTTGTGTTGGTAATTGTGAAGCTTTTATGAAACTCATTTTTTTTTTAAAAAATAAAAATAAAAATAAAAAATAAGAAGAATAATAATAATAGGGAAAGAGAAAAAAAGGTAAGCGAAAGAGAATTGTATCGTGATTAGAAAATGATTAATTATATATATGAAAAACTAAGGTGCTTACGTCATACATACCCAATAATCGTGTTAGCAGTTAAATTTGCATCTGATAAAAATTACATAGTAGGAGCTATATATTTCACGTGGCGGAGCCACGTGAAATATATAGTAACCTAGTATGTAATAGGTTATTATCCATAATATAACTAATAACAAGTATGTATTTGTAAACTTTCTATTGTCATATATATGTATATAATTATTGGCTAATTAATTTTTATAAAATTACAGTAATATTTAAAAAATTTTTATTTATAAAATCAAAGATATCTCATAATTTAGTGGTTAACTTTTCGATTTGTCTCAATAAGACAAATCAAATAGTATCAAATTCATCAAATCTTACTTATTAGAATATGAGATATTAATAATATTACAACTTCTTATTTGTTTATACATTTCTTAATAAATTCTATTTTTAAATACAGTCAGACCTCTCTAAATGCACGTCGCCGGGACCAGCTCTAGCACGTGCATTTAGAGAGGTATTGCATTTAGAGAGGTAAAAATATATAGATATAATATTAGTTGGGCCCAAAAGAAGATGTGCATTTAAAAAGGTGTTGCATTTAGGAGGGTAGCATTTAGAGGGGTCTGACCGTATATGTAAATTATTTTTTTTTTTTTTTTTTTTTTCGGTATTAAGGTGACCTCCTTGGCCTGGGGACTTTTTATTAGTAATTATTAGTTATTACAGTTACAATGAAGATACAACTAGCCACACGTGCACCTTTTGGGTGCCTATTTAAGTAGTCCGCCTGCAGGTTTTACACTAGATATCGTGTATATGTAAATTATTTCTACTTAATCTATTCAATAAATATATGTTTTTATTTAAATTTTAAATTTTAATAGTTAAAATAATTAAAATCTAACTTATAAAATAACAAGTTTATTTGTAATACATATAACTTTAGATTTAAAGTATATAAAAATGAGTTAACTTATCTTTTTTACTCTATTTTTCAAATAAACACTACTTGAACTTGTTTTAGCTTTTCTAAAAAGTACTAGATCTTAGTTTTGCATCATTTGTCATTGGTTTTGACACTAAAATGCCTTTGTATACTCGAATTACAGATTTAACTATCTTAGCTTTTTTATAAACTTCACCTCTAATAAAACTTTTTAAATATTGGGATTGTTGGGGATTAATTTTTATATAAGACGGGGCAGGCAAAGTTCTTTTGTCAGCTTTTTTTTTTTTTTTTGGAGTGAACTTAATTGGTAAGTTTCGAAAAATTACGAGAATATGATTCAAGTTGACGAAAAGTCAACAAATTGAAAATATAGCTAAGTAAGGACATGCTGTAAGCAATCTGGTTAGAATCTTGACTGCAGCCATCGAACCTAATTAAGCACGAAAATAATCTGATACCACATGAACAAACGTAAAAACTGGATAAGTGCGATTTAATTAACTGCTTAATTTGGTACAAATGAGGTAATTGCTAAAAATAACTCCATTGTTAACGAAAGCATAAGAACAGGCATGCCACGGCAAACCGCCCAACTAGCATCCATCATCCACAAGAGACCAATTCGCAAAATGAACAAACAAAAAATACGAAACACTACCAAAGGCAGAAGCGACAACATAGTATCTGAGGAGTCAGTTGAAACTGTAGCAGGTTCAGGCAGCCAAGAAGCACAGTACCCAATGACTGATATAAAAACATGAATAAAAACATACATAGACACAGCAATTCAGACAACAACAGCATAAATAATGAGCAACATGCAACAGTTTATGAACCAACAATCACAAATACAACGCGAATGGAACACTCAACTCATGGAAACAATCAATCAAAAACTCACATAGCAAGAACAAACTAGCATAAGAAATAATAGTCAAAGCATGTCAACAGAATATGGTGCAACAACACAACGATCACACAAAAATCTTCACAATGGCCAACAAGAGGCAACAGAAGAACAAATTACAGAAACAGCTCAAGGTAATTGCCTTTCAACACCTGTAATCAACAATTTAATATTAAGGCTAAATTCAGAAAACCAAGACAATGAACCTGGGAGCAATAATGAAACAACATATTATAAGATAACTAGCAGAAAGTTTCCATCATTAACCTATGCAATTAAAGAAAAAATAGCTACAATTCAGGGTTTTCATAATCAGAAAGCGATAGAAACAGAATGAATCTGACTATGGTGGATTATGAACTGGTCCGAAGGACAAAAAAGAATTGAAATGCTTCCAAAAAAGCCCAGCCTACCCAACAAGCTATGGAAGACAATAGCATTCAGCCAATACATTAACCTGCAAGAATTTATATACAAAAACTTAATTAATAACATTAAACAAGCGAATGAAGAAACAGTACTACAAGCAGCAGAAGGAGGTGTTATAGCTATCAAAAAACAAAAGCAAAGCACTACATTTGACAATATATCAGAATGGTTACTAGCATTCAAGGCCTACATGGATGCAGTGCTAATAATTTATGAAAATTGTGAACAAGAATTAAATACATATCGGGACCATATAAATGAGCTATGCACCAAATATAAATTCTCAGCTGTAATAGAATATGACGAAGACCGGAGAGTCTCACCAGTAATGAACTGAGATTCAACCTTAATGGATAAGGATGTAGAATCAGAAGGAAAAAACTTTGATGCAGCAGCTACAAAAAGAACCAGAGAAGATTGGCGGCATAACACTTGGGCTACTACCACATGGCCCGATGGCAGAGAAATATGCATCAACTGGAACAGAAAGACATGCACAGAGGATAGAAACTGCCGCCGAGTTCATGCTTGCATCACATGTAGAAAACTAGGGCACAGCGAAAAAACTTGTTTTCGCAAGTACCCCGAATTAAGAAAATTAGGCCTAACAAATATCGACTCTGTAAAGAACGAGCAACGTAATAATAGATAAAGCGATAACCGAAATAATAATAATAATAATAATAATAAATAAATAAAATAAATATATATATAACAATGTAACGATGACAACTACGACTGTATAAACAGAACAATAGCAGTGAGAACAATTACTAATCAAATAACAATTCATATTCAATTCAAATGTAATAGCAACTCTTAACAAAAGCTCCAAGTTTAAATACGATGCACAATTTAAAGCGTCTAGAGCAATAACATCGTATGGGAAACCGACATTACAATCAGTAAACCAAACGATTGAAGCATATCCTCAAGAAGCAACCCGCTATCCCAAGAAGAAAAAACGATAGTAAAACAACTACCTCCCTCACAATTTAACGTCACAACACCTATTAACAAAATAGCATTCGATTATTTAATTCAAGATCACCCTAATTGCCCATTTATCCAATATATAAAAGATGGGTTAGAATATGGTTTTAGATTTAATTTCTCTGGAAAGCGAACCACAAAAATACAAGAAAACTTAAAATCAATAAATATTGAACCGACAGCATTGACAAATTACATAAACAGCGAAATAGCGATAGGACGAATGTGCGGACCTTTTACCATTGATGACCTACCATGCTTAACATTCCAAATAAATCCATGCGGACTAGTAGAAAAGAAAAACACCAACCCCAAAGTGTACCGAATAATATCCCACTTATCAGCCCCCTGTGGAACGAGTATTAATGATGGTATCGACCCTACTGAGTTTACAACAAAGTATGAAAATCTCAACCATGCAATTAGCTGGATAACACAATATGGTCGCGGTTGCCTACTATCAAAAATCGATATTCAAGATGCATATCGCATCTTACCAGTACATACAGCTGACTAAGTATTGCAGGGAATACAGTATGAGGGCAAGATATACTTTGATAAAGCTCTCACATTTGGAAATCGAGCATCCGGTGGAATATTTTGTCGCTTCGCAGATGTTCTCACGTGGATTGCAGTAAGTCAAGGGATAAAATCAATAATACATTATGTAGATGACTTCCTGATTATATCCAAGACAGGTGCACAGCAAGAACTAAATCAATTTCTCCGCATTCTTAAAGTATTAAATATTCCATACAAACAATCAAAATTAGAAGGTCCTTACACTGCTATAACATTTTTAGGAATTCACATCGATACTAACACATTTTCAGCATCTATCCCAGAATTAAAAAAGTCAAAGATTATTGAATTACTTACAGAATGGCATAAAAAGAGTTGGTGCTATAAAAAAGAATTACAATCACTAGTAAGCTCCTTAATGTGGCTTTGTTAGATTATTCCCCAAGGCAGACCGTTTGTCCAACGATTTATTAAAACATTAGGAAGCACTAACAGTTCAAAGTTCCACATAAAGATGACTAGCCCTATGAAAACAGATATAAACTGGTGGTCCAACATCCTTCCCAAATGGTCCGGTATATATGTCATGGAAGACAGAACATGGATTCAGCCTAACACACAAAATTTATATACTGATGCATCCAACTTGGGTGGTGGTGCAATGTATAGTGTATACTTCACAATGTTCAACTGGTCACAAACGATAGACATATCAAAACACACAATTCAAGTACGTGAGTTATTAACATCTTTGATAGCTATGCTCACATTTAAACCACTATGGCTGCAAAAATGATTAATCATGTGGACAGATAACCAAGCAAACGCCGAAGCTTTTTATGCTGGGTTCTGCAGGAATACAATCATCAATGACATAATCACAAAGATGTATATGACTCAAATTCAAGGAAATTACTCGGTCAAGCTAGAACACATTGCTGGAAAGGACAACAAAGATGCAGACCTACTGTCGCGTAATGGGCACAAACAATATAGAGCACAGAACCCCTTTGCACGATATTTACACCTAGTAATACCAGACGAATATGCTAATTTGGTAACCACAATCCCATTAATCAATTTTTAGGAACCAGGAATAACAAAACCTTAAAAAAGTTAAGCAGAACAATGCAGCAACTACAGTCACAAACAACCAACAAACCCAAAAACAATCTACCACTAAATGAACAAGCAGCAACAATATTAGGTATAGACTCACCAAAATACTACACATATACTACTATAATAAAGCACTATGAAAAACTAGCTAGTCAAAATGACTGGTTAAATGAAAACAAAACCACCTGGCCAATCTCAAAAGGAAACCTTGCCAAATTTATAACATATCTACACCCCAAAGTGGCACCCCCAACCATCTTATCATATTTATCTGCTCTCAAACACCACCACACTATGATTCATATAGACTGGAGTCAAATACGATACGACCCATTAATAAAACAACTTTTGAAAACTATAGAAAATAACCACACATTCAAACCAACTCAGCAAAAGGAACATATTACGCGAGATTAATTAAGAAGCATAAAAGAAAAACTGAACTTAAATGATCTGGACAATTTATTATTCTGATCAATAGCTTTGGTGGCATTTTACAGCTTAGCTCGACTAGGAGAGCTTTTACCTAAATCACAACAAAACCTAGCTAAAATACTTACCACAAAGACACTAAAATTCGAAAGGACAGGTACAAACACATTTGCAACAATTCAGCTACCTAGAACAAAAAATCACAAAATCGTAGAGCGCCCAATACTGATCATTAACTCAACAAAAGATGATCTATGCCCAATCCAGGCTTTAAAGACATATATACTCTTCAGAACAAATCCAACATATGCACCAGGAAAAAATACACTATTCATTAAGGCTAATGGTGAACTAGCAACGAAAAGTTGGTTTATAGGCCGCCTCAAATCACTGTTACCTGACGCCAACGTAGCAGGGCACAGTTTTCGCGCCGGAGGTGCTACAGAGCTAGTACTCTGAGGCATTCAACTACCATTAATTCAGAGAATAGGTCGATGGTCATCAGATGCATTCTACAAATACATACGAGCACATCCCGCAACAGTAGCCACAATCCTAAACAAAGCATATTCTGATTAACGATCATATGAAAGTAAACTTTGGAACCCGATTGTCATCAGAATTCAAAAAAAAAAAAAAAAACAAACGTTTGTCAGAGATAAGATTAAAGCAAATCGCACACAAATCAATGAGCTGAATAAAAATAAGGAGGTCATGTGCCTAGGTACTGTAAAAAAAAAAAAAAAAAAAAAAAAATAGGGACCAAGCGTAAGAATGTACACATGAACAAAACGGCACGATTCTTATTATTATTGGAATCCACCTAGAATCCTGCCATTTTGTGGCAACTTGTAACTTCATATCAAAGTCAGCCTGCTTTATGCAGTGTGGAAGACCACCGGCTGATGCTACGCATCGCAAATTCAACTGACGACGGCGATACCCGGCACAATTATAGTTGCTATTTCTGGGACCATATCCTGGGGTGTTAGATACTAAATGATCTACTATCATAGTGCAGCACTATATGATTGGTCTACTAAGTAAGATTTTTGAAATTTTGTCGATCAATTTATCGAAATGATTTATCATAGTAATTTTATAATAAAATCCGTGTATTTTTAAAATATTATAACTCCTGTTCTAGCAAAGCAAATTCAATTCTATAACTTGCAAATGACATATAAACAATATAATTTTAAACCTCTGTGGAGACATTTTCTAATTTATTTGACTAATTTAACGAAATTTCAATTTTAATAGTAAAATCACCGTTATTTTTAAGTTTAGAACATAGAAATGCATTAAATTTACATAATGATATTAAATATGGCCACATAGGTTCAAAACCACACTATTTATACACCATTTGCAAGTTACAGAACTAAATTTGCTTTACTAAAATGGGAGTTATAACGGTTTAAAGATGTGAACATGAAACTCA